AAATGCCAGATCTTCCAGAACTTCAGCCGTGGACAGGACCCTGACAGTACTATTCCTGTCAGTATGCTGTCCATAAACGTTATGAATAATGGTCTGGCTATGACCTGACTGAGTTCTTTGAGAATTCTCGGGTGTATCTATTGTTGATGGTATAACAATGATTTGTTATTCATTTTGAATATGTTTGCTTAGAGTTCCCCCTCGTATCATGCCCCCTTTTCTTCAATATAGCCCTTAAGTCCCTGAAATCATTTTTTAGAATGTTCCACCTTCCCCTAATTTTGGTACCAATGTGTACCATGACAGCTGGATCCTTCCCAGCCCCACCCAACAATCTGTCCATCTGATCTGCAATATGCCAGACCTGAGCACCCATAAACAGCATACCGTTTGGCCTGTATCCTTGACCCCCTCCTTACCAGTGCAGTCATTACCCTGACAGCTAAGGGAGTGAGACCACTCCAGCAATGCCACCCCTAGCTGATATCCCAAACATCATGCAACTTGGCATATTTATTGGGATGTAACAACTCAAGACTAGCCTCTCCAATCCTCTTCCCTCTACCCCTCCTTCTAACCGGCACCCAGCTACCTACCTCTGGCTTCTGTATCTCCATATCCCCACCCCCCCTCTTTACTGGCGCTTGCCAGTACCTGCTGGGTAATGTACAAGCGCCTTCCCAGGTTGTTGATACTTTGCAGTGTTGCCACCTGAATCTCTAGATCCAGGATCTGGACTTCCAGAGAAACAACTAGCTCACATCTCGCACAGCAATATTCCCCCTCGGTTCGTCAAGGAACGTATACATGGAGCAAGATATGCACTGCGTCGCATCACCAATCCTGTTGAACATTTTACCCTCTTAACTAATGAGGATATTCCAGGAAAAAATTATTTTTTATAAAAAATGTTTCCATATATACAGTGGGGATCGAAAGTTTGGGCACCCCAGCTAAAAATTTGTATTAATGTGCATAAAGAAGCCAAGGAAAGATGGAAAAATCTCCAAAAGGCATTAAATTACAGATTAGACATTCTTATAATATGTCAACAAAAGTTAGATTTTATTTCCATCATTTACACTTTTAAAATAACAGAAAACAAAAAAATGGCATCTGCAAAAGTTTGGGCACCCTGCAGAATTTGCACTGCCCCCTTTGCAAAGCTGAGACCTGCCAGTGTCATGGATTGTTCTCAATCATCGTCTGGGAAGACCAGGTGATGTCAATCGCAAAGGTTTTAAATGCCCAGACTCATCTGACCTTGCCCCAACAATCAGCACCATGGGTTCTTCTAAGCAGTTCTCTAGAAAACTGAAACTGAAAATAGTTGATGCTCACAAAGCTGGAGAAGGCTATAAGAAGATAACATAGCGTTTTCAGATGTCAACATCCTCTGTTCGGAATGTAATTAAGAAATGGCAGTCATCAGGAACAGTGGAAGTTAAAGCAAGATCTGGAACACCAAGAAAAATATCAGACAGAACAGCTCGCAGGATTGTGAGAAAAACAATTCAAAACCCACGTTTGACTGCACAATCCCTCCAGAAAGATCTGGCAGACACTGGAGTTGTGGTACACTATTCCACTATAAAGAGATACTTGTACAAATATGGTCTTCATGGAAGAGTCATCAGAAGAAAACCTCTTCTACGTCCTCACCACAAAAATCATCGTTTGAACTTTGCAAATGAACATATAGACAAGCCTGATGCATTTTGGAAACAAATTCTGTGGACCGATGAGGTTAAAATTGAACTTTTTGGCCGGAATGAGCAAAGGTACGTTTGGAGAAGAAGAGGCACAGAATTTAATGAAAAGAACCTCTGTCCAACTGTTAAGCATGGGGTTGGATCAATCATGCTTTGGGGTTGTGTTGCAGCCAGTGGCACAGGGAACATCTCACGAGTAGAAGGAAAAATGGATTCAATAAAATTTCAGCAAATTTTGGATGGTAACTTGATGCCATCTGTGAAAAAGCTGAAGTTAAAGAGAGGATGGCTTCTACAAATGGATAATGATCCTAAACACACCTCGAAATCCACGGGGGATTACATCAAGAGGCGTAAACTGAAGGTTTTGCCATGGCCTTCACAATCTCCTGACCTCAACATAATGAAAATCTATGGATAGACCTTTAAAGAGCAGTGCGTGACAGACAGCCCAGAAATATCAAAGAACTGGAAGACTTTTGTAAGGAAGAATGGGCAAAGATACCTCAAACAAGAATTGAAAGACTCTTGGCTGGCTACAAAAAGCGTTTACAAGCTGTGATACTTGCCAAAGGGGGCAGTACAAGATATTAACTCTGCAGGGTGCCCAAACTTTTGCAGACGCCATTTTTTTGTTTTCTGTTATTTTGAAAGTGTAAATGATGGAAATAAAATCTAACTTTTGTTGACATATTATAAGAATGTCTAATCTGTAATTTGATGCCTTTTGGAGATTTTTCCATCTTTCCTTGGCTTCTTTATGCACATTAATACAAATTTTTAGCTGGGGTGCCCAAACTTTCGATCCCCACTGTATATATATATCACTATATTGCCAAAAGTATAGGAAAACCCCTCCAAATCATTGGATTCAGGTGTTCCAATCACCTCCATGGCCACAGGTGTGTACAATCAAGTACCTAGGCATGCAGACTGCTTCTACAAACATTTGTGAAAGAATGGGTCGCTCTCTGGAGCTCAGTGAATTCAAGCTGTGATAGGTTGCCACCTGTGCAATAAGTCCATCCATGAAATTTCCTTGCTACTAAATATTCCATGGTCCACTGTTAGTGGTATTATAACAAAGTGGAAGCAACTGGGAACAACAGCAACTCAGCCACGAAGTGGTAGGCCAAGTAGAATGACAGAGCGGGTCAGTGCATGCTGAAGCACAGTGTGCAGAAATCGCCAACTGTCTGCAGTCAGTAGCTAAAGACCTCCAAACTTCCTGTGGCCTTCAGATTAGCACAACAGTGCATAGAGAGGTTCATGGAATGGGTTGCCATGGCTGAGCAGCTGCATCTAAGCCTTGCATCACCAAGTGCAATGCAAAGCGTTTAATGCAGTGGTGTAAAGCATGCCACCACTGGACTCTAGAGCAGTGGAGACATGTTTTCTGGAGTGATGAATCATGCTTCTCTGTCTGGCAATTTGATGGATGTGTGTGGGTTTGGCTGTTGCCAGGAGAACAGTGCTTGCCTAACTGCATTGTGCAAAGTGTAAAGATTGGTGGAGGGGGGATTATGGTGTGGGGTTGTTTTCAGCGGTTGGGGTTTTTTCCCTTAGTTCCAGTGAACATTTAACGCATCAGCATACCAAGACAGTTTGGACAATTTCATGCTCCCAATTTTGGGGGAGCAGTTTGGGGATGGCCCCTTCCTGTTCCAAAAGGACTGCACGCCAGTGCACAAAGCAAGGACCGTAACGTCTTTCGGGTTGAAGGCCTGACTTCAACCCGATAGAACACCTTTAGGATGAATTAGAGCAGAGATTGTGAGCCAGGCTCCCAGTACTCCATAAATACTCCCAGTACTCCAAATTACTCCCAGTACTCTCCTGATTCAGTATTCATGGAGTCCACACAGTACACCAGCTCTTGCAGTCAGGCCTTTCACTGTTTTTTTCTACTTTCAGGGCGTGCTTTCAGCATCTCCTGTCAGTGTCAGTCAGTGTGCCGGAGTTCCTGTGTCAAAGTGTTCCACGTCTATCCTTTGAACCTCCTGGTGGCATGTCTCGGCTCCCGTCCCCTCTCTTGTCCCACAGCTTACCGGCTTCTCTACTTGTCAGCGAGTCCGCCTTTGTCCATCTCCTACCACAGCTGTCCACCTCTTACAGATTGACTGTGTCTCTCCCGCGTCTGACAGCCGCTGCTCTACCGACTTTGACAGCGTGCCTCCTCTCCAGCATCCAGCCTATTCACACACTTGCTGATGCTGTGAGCCTGCTTCTCTCCAGCGTCAGCCCTGTCCTCCTCTCTCCAACGTAATCTTCGAGTCTAAAATTCTGGGTGGCTTTTGTGAGCACACACAGACAACTTCATCACCCCAACCACCTAAAATATTACAAAATGAGGTGGAAGGGAGGCTGTCATTTGTAGTGGCAGTAAACAAATTTTTAACACCAACACACAGGCAGTTGTCAACCTCTCTTGGGAGTTTGACAGGCTACCAGCAGCTGGGCTGGATGGGATACCTGTTCCCTCCACCTGCAGCTAAATGCCAGAAACCCATGCACCAAAGTTAAACATGCAGTGTGCATGGGGCCTTACCACTCTGTTACAGAAACACAGCAGACTTTCCAAAAGCAGACGTTCTTGTGTATTCTCTGTGTATCAAGATAATTGCAGCATTAAGGTAATTGGAGGTTCCTCTGTATACTGTATTGTCCCCAGCTTGTTTCTCCCTCCAGTAGAAACAGTGTGGGTTAGGTCCTCTTTTAACCCCAGACAGGCTTTAGGGACTGTGATCCACCTTTGGACTTCAAACTCTTTGGGAAATGACCGACAAACAAATTTGCAGACTTAATCCTTGTTGCACCTATACCAAAGCATTGTGCATCACTCAGCAAAGTCTGACAGACATTACAAAACAGGAAAAATTGCAGCATGAAGAACCCTTAACCACTTGCCTACAGGGCACTTACTGTATACCCCCTTCCTGCCCAGGCCAGCTTTCAGTGCTGTCGCACTTTGAATGACAATTGCGCAGTCATGCAACACTGTACCCATATGAAATTTTTAGCATTTTTTTGAGACAGATAGAGCTTTCTCTTGGTGGTATTTAATCACCTCTGGTTTTTTTTTATTTTTTGCTAAACAAACCAAAAACAACTGAAATTTTTGAAAAAAAAAACACATTTTTCGTAGTTTTTGTTATAAAATTTTGTAAATAAGTGATTTTTCTTCTTCACTGATGTGCGCTAATGAGGCTGCAGTGATGGGCACTGATAGGTGGCACTGATGGGCACTGATGAGGAGGCACTAGTAGATGGCACTGATGGGCATTGACCGGCATCACTGATGGGCACTGAAAGGCAGCACTCATTTATGGCACTGATAGGCAGCACTGATAGGTGGCACTGATAGGTGGCACTGACTGGCACTGATAGGTGGCACTGACTGGCACTGTTAGGCTGCACTGATAGGCAGCACTGACGGGCATTGATAGGCAGCACTGATGCACACTGATAGGCGGCACTGACTGGTACTGATAGGCAGCACTGACTGGCACTGATAGCTGGCACTGATTGGCAGCACTGATAGGTGACACTGACTGACATTGATAGGTGGCACTGACTGGCACTGATAGGTGACACTAAAAAGCATCTCAGATGGGCACTGATATGTGGCATTGATGCGCACTGGTAGGCACTGATATGTGGCATTGATGAGGCACTGATGGGCACTGGCAGGTGACATTGATGAGCACTGACAGGTGGCATTGATGGACACTGACAGGTGGCACTGCTGGGGCTACACTGATCATCAGGGCACACTGATCATCAGTGACCTGATGACCAGTGTACATGTCCTCTCTGTGGAATGCCGATTACCGTCTCTCCTCTCCTCTTGAGCTGTCAGCATGACAGCTCGTGAGGAGAGAAATGCAGATATCCAGCATTTATCTGTTTACATGTGATCAGCTGTGATTGGACACAGCTGATCACATGACCGAGCCGACATTTTCGTCTCTTTCCGTTGATCGGTGATCTGCTGTGTCCGAGGGACACAGCGCACCACCGATCACAGCGCATGCGCGGTTAGAGTGGGAAGACGTCATATGACGTCCTAGCAGAACGAGAGAACCGCCTTGCGCCTGTCATTACCTTATATGGCGGGCGGGAGGTGGTTAAAAAACAGTACATGTTAAAAGCAGGACTTGGAGAACCCATCCATACAATACTATTTTCACACATGTCCATTTCAGCTAACACTCCAAATATTCTCCACTGTCTTCTGAATGGTACTTAGTTTAACCAAAAGCAGTGCATCTGTTACCTGGCCTAAACTCCTGCCTAAAGAAGCATCAAATGAAAATCCAGATGGATCTAGTCCCTTAAAGATTTAACAACCAGGTGAAGATGCCGGTTGAGCAAAGCTGAAAGGTGGAGGTTGTTTGTTGCTTGGAGATAGATTACAATCATGATCAGCTACCCTTTTCCCAATATTTCCATGTGTGACCCACACATGGCAACAGCATTGTACTGTTCCATTCTATAATATGTAATGTCAACTAATACTTATTTTTATGTTTATATGTATTTTATAGGTATTGAAGTATTATGGCTGCTTCTTTCTGTGTAAATAATGTATATGCAGTTATAATAAGCCCTTTATAAATCCTCACTCTGAGTATTTTGAAATAAAAATTATAATTATTAGCCCTATTTAAAACAGGATATATCTAAAATGTTCTGCAAACTAATATGACATTTCAATGAAACAGAATTTCTGAAAGACTGCACTGAATAAATCTCTAAGTCACAGCGCACTTTAAGAAAATCTTTGCAGGACACATTTGTAAAGTTCAATTTTATTGATTTCTTGGCTAGTGCCTCAGTTGTTCAAATATTCATCAATGTAATTCCAAAAACAAGCAGAGGGAATCTTAAGCACACAAATGATCTTAGACCTGGAGCAACACACTGGCAAACAACTGTTAGCTCTTCATTATGCTAGTTTAGCTGTACAAAATCAATATGTGACAAAAGTGGCAAAAAACATGGAGATTTTTTAAACATAAAATAGGTAAAACATAACAGAGATTCAAGTTGTAAAGAGAAAAGTGGATCCTTCATGCACAATAACTTTCATTAATATTTTTTTTCTGATTGATCTGCTAAATCTGTTGGGATTACAATAAACAAGAACAACAATACCAAAGAATTGGTATTAAACTTAAAAATATTTGGAACTCAATGTTGAAAGTGCTAGACTGGAAGATAGCAGTTGTGCAATTCCAACAACAGGCAATTTGTTTTGTTTTCCTTAATAACATTGTTAAACCATTTGAGTCCCAGGTGCTGTTTTGTGAATTGGCAATGGGGTCATGGGTGTAGCTTTAGGGGCCACAGGGGTTACAATGACAATCCCACCCATGCTCCAGGGGGCCTATGTGGCCTCCCTGTCACTAGGGTTTGATCTACTGTATCATGGGTCTCAGTCAGAAAGCCAGTGGGGAGACACTGTACGGCAATTTCCAGCAGGTCGTGTGCTGTCCTCACAGCGCTTTTCTGCTTCCTGCATTCAGCTGAGTGGTGTGTTGCAGGGCAGCAGCATGACTCTGGAGCACAAGCTGGAGATTGAAGATGATGAGGCTCCAGAGGAGATCATCTTTAAGAATGCTAGAAGCTAGCTGGAGAAGAGCGGAGGTGAGGTGCCCAGCAAGTGAGTGAGCAGGTAGAAGGGCGCAGCTGTGCATCCTGTGTGTGTGTATCCTGTGTCTACATCACCCAGTCTACATTATTATTATTATTATTATTATTATACAGTATTAATAAAGCACCAATAGTTTCGCTCAGCGCTGTACATTACAAACGGGGACAGAACATGCGACAGTACAGTAACAATACAATGCAAAACACGAAGGGTTCGAGGGCCCTGCTCTTTCGAGCTTACAATCTAGGAGGGTGGGGATAGTGGTAAAGGAAGAGATATCTGTGGGGGATGGAGTGGTAGGAAGAAAGGAGGAGGTTGGCAAATTAGCAGGGGGTGGGGTAGGCTTCCCTGAAGAGGTGGGTTTTCAGGGTGCGCCTAAAGGAGAGGAGAGTAGGTGATAGTCTGATGGGTTGGGGCAGGGAGTTCCAGAGGATGGGTGACACCCTGGAGAAATTCTGGAGGCGGGCATGGGAGGAGGAGACCAGGGAACTAGAGAGAAGGAGGTCTTGTGAGGAACGGAGTGTGCGTGTTGGGTGGTACTTGGATATTAGGTCGGTGATGTAATTTGGGGCAGTATGGTGGACAGCTTTGTACGTCAGTGTTAGGATTTTGAATTTGATCCGTTGCGCAATCGGAAGCCAGTGGAGGGATTGGCAGAGGGGGGTGGTGGAAATGGAGCGGTTGGTAAGGTGAATGAGTCTGGCAGCCGTATTCAGGATGGACTGAAGTGGGGATAGCCTGTGGCAAGGCAGGCCAGTGAGGAGAGAGTTGCAGTAATCGAGTCGTGATATGATGAGGGAGTGGATGAGCTGTTTAGTGGTTTCTGGGGTTAGGAACGTGCGGATTTTGGCGATGTTGCGGAGGTGGAGTCTGCGTGAGTTTGTTAATGATTGGACTTGGGGCTGGAAGGATAGGTCTACATGATATAGCTTTGAGACTGCACACAGCAGGATGGAGGCAGTACTCCATTCATCAGCTTGGATACGTCAGTGACTGATGGAGTACATTCACTATAGACTTTGTATAAATGTATCTTAAGAAACTTGAAATCCCCCCACCTATAAAAAGTGAAAATCCCACAATCATTGGTGGCCAGTGACAGTTTAACTCCCCCTCACCTTCCCCAACACCACCACCACTTTCGTGCAGCCTCCCTGTCACATTAAGATTTACACTGTGTCACTGGGGGAATGCACTTTCCATGTCACTCTTTGTAGGTAATTCAGTAAAATCAAAGGGCCCAGGCTGGCTAAGCAGGGCCTACCCAGGCCCATCCTGGGACCTCCCTCCGAGTTTCCTGTTTCACCTATACGGGGTGGCAGGGCAAGCCCCCTTTCCCTCAATGGCACATTCTCTGCTCAGCCCCCCGTTCAGCCCAGTACAGCCCCTCCCTCCCTGCTCAGCCGTGCACGTGCATACAAAGTGGGGGCAGGCAGACCATACTCTGAGATGCCTAGTGAAAGTGGTGGGCTTGTATGTGAATTTGGAAGTCAGAGGGCCCATCCACCCCGGGCCCTCTGAGTTTCCTCTTTTACATCAAGCCAAAAAAGATCAAATTTAGTGTGTTTATGGGTCTAATAAAATTGACATAGACCCACAGTTAAAGCTATCATGTCATAGATTAATAGGTTTGAAAATGACATTACTGACTCACGGGATAACTGGTGGGGTCCTGTAAGGCTATAAAACATGCAGTAGACAAAAGTATTTGTAAGTGTCACCAAAGGGGCAACAACCACATACAACAGCCTCCCAAAGGTAACCAACAGCGGCTTAATGTGAATGAAAAAATACCAACTTTATTGTTACACCTTGCTTAAAAATTCCACCACAGTAGGTGAATGATTCTAAATTTCTCCAACACCACTGAAAATAAGGATTGACATTGTTGTCACCCTGTAAGGAAACCAAAGAGCCAGGGCTATCACACGCTCATTCACAAAAGGGCATGCACACCACCCTTATCGAGGGTACTCAGTGTAAATAAAGCTGAACAGGGACAAACCTAGTCCTACTGGTATAGAAAAACACAAAGCTGGTGTAAAAAATAATCAGTGAAATGGCCTGATGAATCATTACCTGCTCTGTAGATATATATACTGCATACCAAACCCATTTAATGATGGTCAGACTGCCTTAGGAGTAAATCATGGCATATTTTGAAAATGCTTGCCCCATTGGTGTACTGATGTGCACTATTGCCAATAGAGATTATTGTAAGTAAACCCAAATGGGAAGTGCTGGATAAAGAGTCTTTTTCAAGGACAATCCTCCAACAGTTGGACAATTGTTAGTCCATAGCTCAGACCATGGGCTCACCGCTATCCATAGATAAATTATGAAAGCCCAGGTAGGGAGCAGACAGGCAGTGGGTAAATGATGTTATATCACCTGCATCGCAAACAGTTAAGTGGGGAGAATGCAGCTAGAGCCATAGATAAATATTTACATTCACATTAGTTGTTTACATTTTGATATAGTGATATTGGTTCTCAGACCCACAGGCATGACAGTTCCATACAACACAGAGGCTCCCATCCATCCCATACTTCAAGCCAGGTACCCGCCTGTCACTTTCCTCCTTCTATTCTGACACTCCTAGTTAAGCCCTCTGGCCCCGCAGATCTTCAGGTCCTTTACAGTAGACTCCCCATGGGATTCTTGATCTCAAGGTGCAATCTGGTAAGACACCGGCGTGAGCTGAGCTCGGGCTCTATGACTCTACCAACATCAATGCATTTCGCTCACTGAATCATGAGCTTCATCGACAGGGTGACAATATTGTCAATCCTTATTTTAAGTGGTGTTAAATATTAGAAACGACATTATACAAGTGGCGATTGCAAAGGACTGAAACCGAGTGTGAAAAATGGTTCTGAGATTTTTAAAAATTCAAGCATAAAAACCAGTAACAGCTTAAGATAATTGAGGTAGAACCTACCAACAATCCCTACCATAGAAGAAAAGAATAACATCTCACGGAGTTACTGTGCTTGTTTGACCCTAAAGCCAATATAACAATGAGAAGCCAAGACAAATACTTTGTAAAGAAGAGTCAGCAAAAAAAAATTAGAAAAGAACCAGAA